GGCGTACAATAATCCAAATTACAAATAAAGCACTTTTGAACCGTTGGATATCGTATTCTTCTGCCACGACATGCCTTTAGGGCTTGCTTTGTCCATCAAAGATCAAGTACATGATACTCTCTTTATTTTTGCTGACCGGCATATACCTGAATAGTTTATGGTGAGGTTAAACGTGGATATGTAGAACAGTGTATGTCAAATGATGACTCCAGGATGGTACTGGTTTGGAGCAAGTTCTTAATTTCAGCAGAATCTCCGTCGTCACATTTAAATGGGATCTCAGTAGCTTCAAGTTAATTTTGCAACAAACAGTCATTATGAGATCCCAACAAACTTTTCGTAAATTCTGTTGCACTCTACTTGTAAATATCTGTTCTTCACCGGTTCGTTTTTTGGAGCAGTATTGGAATTTATATAGCATAATATATCTGTAACCCAGTCTGAACTTAAGTTTTGTGATCAATAAAGCCAAGGAATCATCCTGGTTTTGGCAATTTAGGGGCATTTATGGATGAACATGCCAAAACGGAAAGCTTCCTTGCTTAATAATCCAAGAGGATTGGAAGCTCTGAGGACAAGGCAGCTAATGAGCAAAACTATCTTGTAACATCATTTTATGTAAATTGTAGAAACACCTATACTATCCTCTGCTGTGTGAATTGGTGCGTGCAATATCACACGCGTACGTCAGTTTTGGCTCTGAATGTCCCTCGCTTCAGTGAACGGATTCTGTCGTAACAGCATTTCAGGGCAACACAGAAAAGGCAGGAGTTCAGATTGGGCCGCCCCAAATGAACAGCACATAAAAGCCTGCAAGACACTACAGCATTTCCGGCAAAAATCTAAGTTCACTGATGTGACGTAATTTATCGATGATGAAAATCTGCCGTGCCATAAGGTGATCCAGGCTGCCAGTTCACCGTATTTCTATGCTATGTTTTCTTCACCATACAAAGAGCAGCAAGCATTACATGTCTCCCTGGGCGGTCCGTCGATTGTTGGATTTCACCTACAATGGCCGACGGAATTGTCCGAAACCATTGTTCAAGACGCTTTCACAACTGCATCGTTGTTAGACTATCCGATTGCAATGTAGCCCGTGCACAGTTTACGGAACAGCGTTTGTATGTAACCAATTCTTTCGGGGTAGAATCCTCACAGAGCTTCACGGGTTGATAATCCTCTGGAAAGCAGTCAGGGAAGTGACACTACACTGGCAGCTGAATTTAGCGAATGGCCTGCTCTTCCGTTTTCAACTATACTGCTGTATATCAGCTCAGACGATCTGTATGTTCCATCTGAAGTGTCTGTATGGAGTGCTTGTATGACGTGGATTAAAAGGCCTATTGATGGTCTGTATTTTTCTAGGTGAACGCCCTTGGTGCTTGAGTAGGAGCGTAAATTGTTTTCATTGGAGCTGACTTCCCTTGATCGGTGGGGGGGTAAATATACTCTTTCAGGCCGACAACTGAGAGCACACATTTTTACACGAGACACATGGAAGCAATTAGGCTTTGTTGCCTGTTAATCCCACGAAGAGAAACATCGGCTTTAAAGTTACCGAAATGATTAGAGCAGCTTAAGGAATAAGAACACATCGGGAATTTTGTGTCATGGTGAACTCAGACCCTTGAGATCCAATAGAAATAAGTTCTATATCTACAAGCGATTTTCTTTAATTATCCTAGCTGAGCTTGAAGCATGTTAGTCTCAGAATGTCCCTCTGTCTGAAGATTTTTTCTACTAAGTAAGCCTTGCAGGGAAGAAAGCCATCAGCGTTATTTACTTGTCTGCAAACGGATATCTATCGCCTTCGATGCAAGCTGCAGTACCATAAGATTTTCCAAAATTAAAAACAGACAAATGCCGACGTAAAATACTAAAACACTTTTTGCTGTTGATGGAACACATTCAATAAAGAGATCTAAGAGAGAAAGCTTGAAAAGATAAAATAAATCAACAACTCAACTGCTCCGAAGTAAGTAGGATCAAATTGATGATGGACTATACCACAAATTTTGTCAACCTGCGCAGAAATATGCTAAGCGACGCCACCATGGTAAAATGGTGCACAGCTAAATTGACGTTTGATACTCTAAACTTTCTCCTAGGCACTTATTTCTCTCACGTTTTAAAAGAAAGACTCAACTCATAGCCCCAAGAGTATGCTATCGAAATATGGAGCATAAGGTTCCTGATGTATCAGCAAATTAATGCTTATTATGTCAACACCATTCAAGAGACGAGTTATCAGAATGTGAAAAAATAAAATTGCTTTGCATGGGTAAAATTCAAAATTTTCCGCCAACTCCTCAAAAGGGTTCTTTTATTCAGAGCGTGGGAAGAGGTAGTCCACCTTTTTATATTTTCTGCTACTACCAGACAGACATTAATTATAAAGAGGTATAAACGTGAATCTTGTCCACCCTGTGTTTTGGTTTGAGCCGTATGTGTCGTAAGGGACATCTGCGGGTGTACCAACTGTGATTTTACCCCTACTCTGAGAAGAACACAATGTGACTTAAACAATGTGTCTTAAACTCGGGAATAGTTGCCGGTTTTCAACAAAGTCGTGAGCAGGCCTCTTAAAAATTTTCTTCAAATCAGCATTGAGTGAAATTAGCACTTTGAGCCTCTGGAAAGTTGCATGACATAAATGCGAACTGGTAACGCATGTACTTCAGAGAAAGATGGTTAAGTTGTTTTGGGTCCTGCAAATGCCATGCTTGATAAATGCTAGATAAGGAAGACGACGAAATCACCTCAATAACTTAAACAACACACTTGAAGTTGAAAAATGACAAAAGAACGCATTTTTATTAGCTTGTCATCACCGGACTGTGAAGAAAAACGGGAACGTTTCCCAATTCATAAAGAATTTGTTTTACTGGTAACTTGGATCTGGCCAACCGCTGTCCGACATGTGCATATAAAAGTCAGGCATTCATACTGCGTTGAGTAAATAGAGCATAATTTGTTGCATGCGATTCTTTGGGAGGCACGAAAAGCCTGGCAAGAAAACCCTCAGCATGCTGCGGATAGCAGAATAGAGTAAACTTCATTTAACTAAACAGTCGCTGACTTCTACCAAACTACTATTTCACGTGTGTGACCATACGCATTATTCCAGATGGTGTTGCCATCAACTTTGAGGGTACGTTCGTGTACGTCCGTATATTTCCGGATCGAAGTATCACATACGTGTATAATTAGTGTATAGCCGAGTAATCTGTGCATCAGCACATATACGAGATTTGCATGATAGAATATTCACTGCAGACGATACAAATTGATAAAGCGGTTTTTAAACGTAACATTTATTCCTTGCTTCTACAAATTTGGTTTCAAACTAAGTACCTCGGGGGACATTTCTTTGACTTGCTTTTATGCCAACAGCGATATTTGCTTTTATGGTTTCCCCATACGCCTAGGATGTTACTGTTTTCAAATGTCGCCAAATACTGCTGCTGTTTGCGGTTTAACAAATAAACTAAAGTAAGCTTTTGTTATAACCTGATACTTCTCACAAATGTAATACTGGAAATTAAATCCATTCTTCTGATACAACCCCCCAAAGTGATACAAATAATTCAAAGAACGTGTGAACAGGATTGGACAAGATCACGGAAACTACTGCAACGGTAAAAGCCTTGAAACCTCTCGTGGAGGCTCAATAATGACAGCAAATTTTGTTGATGCATGCTGATTATTAGTTGCTCACCTCATTCATTGTTGACAACGTTTGTATCAATAAGAATCGTACCCCAGCAGAAAATGACTTCATTATAACTACTTTCTCAAGTTTTTTTAAGGTAGTGACCTAACCCAGAACTCCGAAAACTTTGTCTACGGCACAACTGATTTTTTTCACACTGTGAAACCCCAGATAATTAGTGTCTCCAACGACTTTTGTAGTACCAATTGGCAATTTGCTTGAGTAATTCTCAATGCACTAAAATTTATAAGAAAATAAATGGTTGTGGGTTTCACCAACCATAAAACCCTAGAAATTGAGCAGCGCATACGATCGGTAAACACAATTAATTTAAACGTACCCCCATGATCCTGAGGTATAACCTGAATCGAAGACATCTAACGTAAATCATGTAGTTACCTTGTTCTAGTTACCGACTGACCAAAGCATTCCAAGTTTCGGGATTTTTTTCTTAATTTTTGAGACCGTTTCCTATTTCGTTTCCCTCAGGCATTTTGAATTAATTAGGGCTGTCAATTGTTCTCCCATAAGGATAGAATCTAATAGAAGAATAGGCCCATAAAGTTAAAGGGAGTCTTCCAAAACCAAGCATTGTGCAACCGACGGTTATCTGTGACCCATTCAGAAAATGTAATCTTAGTTCAACTGCATAACTTGACGACAAACATTTTGCGTTTTCAGAGCTATTTTTTCAAGGATGTGTGGATTTATTAAAGGTTATCAAAAACCGAAACATACGACTTTTGATCTATTGTTCGAAAATTAAAATCCATCTAGTTGGTCCAAGGTGTTGGTATCAACTCGAGGGTTAAAGCCACAGTAATTTTGATACTTTGGGTCTGAGATCATCACATCTGATCATTTAATGCAGTTCCCAGCCAAGGAACACACAGTCATCGTTACATAACTGGGCAACCGCCCTCCTCTTATTTTACGCATCTGGTTGGTTTTATTTCAAAGCAAGTTCACTCAGTGTCACAATAAAACATTGACAGTTGCTATCATTTGTTTGGTCCCCGGCTTCTTGACGGAGTTGCGCCTTTGCGCACCTTTTGCGCGCTCGGCAGCCAGAAAACTGGTCAGGATATTCATTGATTTACTGGTTAAAATCGGGACATCTATGGAGAAAATCTCATCACGAATGCGAAATTAGAATTTCCCTATAAGCATAGACAGCATTGCATTGTCTAGACTGGCCATTGTTTGATTGGTCGTCAGCGTCACTGTTTATCGACCGTTAGCTTTAGTTCTCAGTTGATTGGTTATTTTGGTTGCATTGCGGAGGAGAGTATCAGTGCTCCAGGACATCGGCTGTACCAACCAAACGAGCTGTGCAGCACCACAGTGATCAGCACAAGGATAAAGCTGCTTCACACTTGTGGGCGGCACGCCACAGACACTATCGTCCATTGGTCTAATATGCGCCGGTCAATCACAGCCGGCTAACCAGGCAGCTGCGAGTGGATCAGACCGGCACGTATGGTTCACTGTGAGCCATCGACGTGCTTGACAGACCGGAATAGTGCCCGTTTCAGCTGTTGTTGCTGCTTAGTTCACACGGATCTAAGTGTTACTCATCTGTGTTCCGGCAAAAAGTCCTTGTATATTTCTTCAACATGCCAAGCGTTTCTCTGAGTGGATGTCTTAAGTGCATCAAATATTCGATGTTCGTGTTTTGCTTGATAGCCTGGGTAAGCTTCTTCTCTCCGTTTTCAACGAACCTATAAAACGAACCATGTTTTTGACAACGTTTATAACCCATGCTCGGAATATTTTTATTCAGTAATGGATATCTGATTATTCGGCTGATCAAACAGTATCCAAGTGAATTTTTATCTTAACTTGAGTGTAAAGAAATAAAATGTAGATGATGGCTGATTATGTGCAAGAGAGTGGAATTATTAAACCGAATGTATTGATATTGCAAACAACAGCGTGTTAAGCGGCTTATCAGACAGGATGGGTTTCAAGGGTACGGTAAACTCGGAAAACAATTAACTGGCTTTGTGAATGATAATAATTGGCGCAGTGTTTGTCTGTATAGAGGCAAACTGGCTAGGTGCGTTGACAGACGTTTCAAAAGATAACATATCAAAAATGTGAACTTTGCTATAAGATGGAAAAATGGCTCAAAGCAAATCTGATTAGTTAGATGAGTTTATGGAGGAAAACTTGAGGGATGAAGATCAGAGGTTTTGGGGGAAAAGTTTTGAACGACAGCCCATTTAACCTCTATATTGCGGCAAACATTTTTAACCTTTTGAAACCTGGAAAAGTCAAAGTTTGAAAAAACGCAAAAAAACTATGTTACTTTGCTTTCTATGGCATCATTCTGAGCTAGATGGCGATGACCTGTCAAGAAAATAAACACACGTATCATTGTTCGGAAACTCTGACAGAGATTTCGTTCTGTGTCTGGTCAATGTTTGTTGTGAATTCAAAAAGAACCTTTCAGCTATTTTGTTCTTATCGAGACCAGTCCATAGTGCACATGAACTTCCGAGGAGTATCGAATCCGCGCCCACCAGGCTAGTTGTCTGGACGTATAGCATGAACATAACACAATGAACGGCTAATCAACAGTGTGATGAGTTTGCGTTTAGACGGAAGACAGCGCCATTCATCATTCAGCCATTGGAATGCGCATTACGTAGACACCTATGCGCTGAATCTCAGATGATAACATCTTAGAATTTTCACTCATCTGATTGGGATTTTGGAATTCCTAAGATTAAACTCTGCCGATGGTTTTCACTGAAAGCAAAACAACTCCACGGTACTATGTGGCTCTTCACCTTAGTGCTGATCTTATTCACCATTAAAAAAGGTAAAATTATAAAGCTCAAAATTTGAATTCTTATTACAGCAACGGTGATCTCAGGAATCCAGTTCTTTGCTAGTTTCCCAACGTTGCAACTCTTCAACACAACTGATCAACATAGTTTGTGGCTAAGATCTTTTGCTAAACCTGGCCGGAGCGTTCATAATTATATGGAAGGAAAAATTCACAAAACGAATCCCCGAGCATCCCCAAAATTACCTCGTTAAATGCAGATTTCCAATAAAAAATATTGAACTAGATTCCAAGCTTCCAACGGGAATCAGAGAATTGCTAAAACAAACAACCCAGCTGTTCAGACACCGATCGGGTTGGATTACTATGTTAACAGCACCACACCAAACGGTTGCATTCAAAACACCGAAGCCAACACCTGTTGGTGCAAGGCAAGCGGTCAATTTACTGGTTCATCATATGGTTTCAACGAGAGTGGAGAAAAGTGGGGTGGAGCCGAGATCTCGTGAGTGGACCAAAGCTTACCTGTAAACACCTGAGCTTTCACCACTGTAACTAACTACTTGTAAGGCAAGGAAATTTTCACTGTTGATTAATCGTATCTATTTTTGAGCTCTTCTTTACTGACAACTTTGAGGTACATGTCTTAATACTAATATACTAATAATATATTTGGCTAGTTCACCGTTATCGCTTAGTTTAAACATGTTTCTAATAAGTTTCCTAACTGAGGAGGGGAATTTTCCATCTGACTCTGGGAGCATTGCAATCACATCGAAAACGCAGGTGTGTGCTAAACAGCGGACTTTATCTGATCGATAAGCTTGTTTCATGTCTTTGTACAACACGTTTTACCAATCTCTGCGCGTTTTCTGTCTGCAAGCAATCATTTGAGGTTAACCAAGAGGTGCTTGTGCAGATGTTTGTGAAGCGGTTGATGAGCTGGGTATATTATAGTTTCTGGAGTCGAGTTAGTAACCATAATGGTCGTGTTCGCGGTCAGTGCTAGTCAATAAATGTGAGGAATTTGGTGAAATGATTCCAACAGTTGGTTGGATGCTGCTTCCAAATATATAACGTATGTTTTTCTATGTGTTTTTTGTTTCTATAATTCCTAGCAACCTTTTGCTTTGCTGGACCAACAAAGTACACGTGTCAGTTAGTCGTAGCTCATTCCGCTGCTGAGTTGTTTCACTCTGAGACATACGGAATGCAGTTTACTTGCTCCTAACAGGTCACACTCTTCGCACTAAATCCGCAGAGCAAGTCTTGGACCTTTGTTTGAGTTCCATTTGTTTCTGTCAAATGGTATAATGAGACAGCCAAATATAAATTAAGATGGATCACATATAGAATATTCTTCTATTTTAACGTAGTCCAACGTATCCATCCGCTTTATTCTCGCATATAGCTTCAGCTGCCTAAGAAAAACGTGTAGATATTCCTGGTAAACACTTCGGCAAGGAAAAGTAATTTTACTTTCACACTCTATACCTGCTTCAACCTTTCTACGCGAATTATAAATTCTGTTAGGAATGTGTTATTGGATGGAACACAGTTCACTCTATTGCATTCCGAAATCTCATTCGAAATGTACTGTTAGGCAAGTGTCCACGTGGCACATGCACTGCTGGTTAGGCACGTGAGGGGATACCCGTCAGCTGACTTGACCGGTTTTGTTCTTTGCATACTATAGGATGAAGGATGTGGACCGTGAAACCACTTTTCTCACTGGCTTAGAATCAAAGGCGTACCGTGATGGCTACGGGTCGATCCCTGTAGGTTGTTGTTAATGGGTTGTCCGTAGTGTATACAAATTAACCGATCGTGATTGGCGCGAATATCCCATCAGAGAGAAAGTATGATGGTGAACTGCAACGATAACTCTCTCCTTTATACAGAATACTGAGTGGATGAACTACGTTACTTCTGTTCACAATGAGGTGTATGATGCTGTGTACAAAATAAGCCACTCTCTTTTTAAATACTGCCCCATATGCATCACCGTAAAGTCCAGATTGGAGAAGTACTATCTGAAGTTACCTTCGAATTAATGGAGTTGTGCCAGAAGTGCAATATGAGATTTGATAGGTTTTATTGCCGATGGTGTTATTGGTTGAGTTGTTTCAGATAATCTCTCAAAAACTAAGTAAATCTCAACCAAGGTAAGCAATAAAAATTGAGCACTAAATCAGCTGTATCCAAATGTAAGGCCTTATCAATTTGTTTGCTCACCTGAGCCGGTTCACGTATTGTTTCGACGAACGTGAGCAATATGCAGCATTTTGACCCCTTCTGTAAAGAGTGGACAGATTCCCCCGGAAGAGTTCAGCGTGATCATATTCCAAATAACCAATTTGAAGTATGCAGGTCAAACCGCCTATTAATCATGACTGGGCCCCCACAGGATGCGAATGGAGCTTAAATATCTGCTGAAAATACAGGCGCTCCATGCTTTTTTATTCTTTTAGTGAATCTACCTGTGTCAGTCTTTCTTCGAGTTGATTCTTACGCATCAGCACAACATGTACGGTCAGCTTGTTGCAGAGTAGCTTGTAGACAAACAGTAAGAATGAGTGAAATCCATCCCCGGTGACATTAGTACCTGTGGTAGGGAAATCTACCTCCTTTTTGTGCCTTCGACTTGTGCAGTTGATTTTCAGGTGACGGTAGTGCGAAACAGACGAATAGCATACAAACATGAGTTTATTCAGTTCGTCCTGTAGAGCTTTGAGGTAGATTTCCGGGCACTCACAATGCAGATGTGAAAAATACGTCCGCGAATAAACATGTGTACATCGATGCACGTGATGCCCCAACTTGTTTGTCTGTCTTTGTAAAATAACACATTTTCTGTGCACCATGTTATACGATTATTATGAATTTGAGCCACTAGCTGTAGTTGCAAATCGATCCGCCACATATTTGCTTCGTCAGTTTTAAAAAGTTTCCTTTAATTATGCGTCCATGATAAACTCAATGTAAATTTCGGACCGGTCAGTTTCTATCCATTTGACTACGCGCTCTGCGTTACACGGACAGCATCAAAGACACGTTTTCTTATTAGTACTGAAGAAACAACAATAAACAATCACGCCTACCGGTTTTTATCTAATCCCCCGGTTTCTTGAATTACTAAAGCTTTACGACTGATTGTTTGAAATTTCTAAAACCCCTAAAGCGCGATTCTTGTGCCAGTTTTCTGCACCACCACACTAAAATCGCCTAGTAAACTCTTCGCTTACTTTTCATTTTACATATTTATACCATGGAGACCGCGCTAAATAGGCTTCCATGATCTAACTATGTGAAACCCATAAGTACTTAGCGTTTCTCGTGAACCGCAGTGATCGATCGGACTTAGAGAACCACCAGATCACATTTGAGGGTTTGTTTGATAAACCGAGATTTGGATAAATTTCATACACATTTTTCCGTTGACCATTTTAACATATAACCGGAATCCTCTTCATAATGTCTCAACTCTACGGAAACTTGATTGTACCATCACTCAGACGCTATTTTCTAACCTTCCGGAGTAAATATCTGAAATTTTTACCGATAGTATAAATATTATTAACCTCTCCACACGAAATCTATGACACTCCTTGCAAAACCATTTTCACAAATGATAACAACCTCTAGAAATCACGTGGCATCAGAAAGAGTAGTCTTTAGGAAACTACCCTTCAAAACGCCCTATCCTGTTGTTCGAAAACTGACACCTTGGTGTGAGTACTGAAGCAGACGTGCAATTCAAGACTTATTTTACGCATAACTCAGGTGTCACCGCTACCTTATTATGTGTACCAGTTTACATGCAATGGAAGAGTAGTTTGTCTAGTCAGAACTGATAATGGAGTGGTCAAACAAAAGAGCACTTACTCCTCTTTGTCCAAAATCAGTTACCATAAAAACCTTTCCTTGTGAAGGCTCACCCACATGGAGATGAATGACCTCGCTGTTTTGCAAGACCCTTTCAAATCTTGTATCACGCAAAGCCGCTCACCACATTTCAGCAGAATCAATATGAGATCAGTTCCGGGGACATATCAGACCAATTTAGTTAGTCCTATAAATCTGCACAATAGTGTATCTTGGAAATCACGAAACAGTTCCAAAGCATTTCTGGTTCTGTAACAATTAGCCCTGAATTAACAACAAATCATAATTAATCGTCTACCTGTTGACAGTGTAATGTTCCGCAGATATATATTCCTCCTTCAGTTTAACACTCATTCTGTAACATTGCGATCCCTTCTACCGCCTTAGTTCTTCTGATCACTGCCTCATTAATAACACCCGATTTCTTCCCAAGATAGATCCTGTTTTTCATCCTATGTTAGCGCTGAACTGGATGTTATGCGCCGAATTTTTTAGCAGTTATTTCTGGAAGTGCTGTTTTTCCAAAAGCTTTTCGGTTTTCGTACAAAACATGCAACTTTCTTTCCTGGCGGAAGGAGCCAATTTATGTTTTCATTTTAAAAACCACAGTCATCCGAATGGGATGAAGATGCACCTCTGAGAATTGTGAAGAGGAGAAACCGTTTATCCTGAGTTTGCATTCTACATTTTATGCCACGAAAAATGCTGGGAGAGCTTTTATGTCTCTTTTTTTGCTTGTATTACTCATTTCACTAATATGTCATTTCTCATTCAGTCACCCATATCAAGTAACTGTCACACGTTGTGAAGTGTTGCCCCACGCTTTGCGTCACACTTTGCCTTCTCAAATTCATGTAACCCTCAACTGTTCAAAATCCCAGAAACGTTCATCGTAACACATAATGAAATTTATGTCAGTAAACTATATTAGATTGTATTTTATCGCTATTTCCAAGTGGTGGACGAAACATATTCCTTACTTCATCTGTAAACTGCACTTAATACATAAACAGTTGATGTATCTAACATTAAACAAGCGGGGAGTGATTTCGGATAACAAGCGTTACTGGTACCATCCATTTTCCGCAGAATGCGAAATACTTCCAAAAGTAGGTAATCTTATAGATAACATGGCACCGTGAAGCATATATTGTTCCGTTTATTCGAACCGCATTGTTCGCAACTAAGGATATCGGTATCGCTGATTTCATTCGAAAAGTCATAGCAGGATAATCGTCATCAAATAATCATCGGCTGCAGATATATTTCTAATGAAACACTGTGACTATTGACCCTAGGAAGTTGTAGGCGCAAAGTCTATTATAGGATCTCAAAAAAGTTAATACAATTTCTAACAACTGTTCACGATACTCTAAATCCTGCAAGCGAATGTAGGACAAACTTAGACGCGCTAATGGGTGTTGTCGTATTCGGAGATGATTACAGTCTGAAAAGTAAAACAAATTAGATTCGGCTTATTCACTTGCTTGCTTGTGCCATAAGTAGGCAAAGAATTACAGGAAAAAATAGACTTGAAAAAGGTTTGCAAACTCATCTGTTCGGCTTATGTGTCAACCGAAACTGAGAGCAATCAGCCTAATAACCTGGATTCTACGTAGGCATCGGAAATTCTAGCCCGAAACCAACTGACCTATGAAACTGAATATCTTGCTGTATCGTACCACTCAGTTTTGCCAATTGTCCTAATCCTCAACTAACCCAGTAAAGACTTTGGATGCAACGCGCAAGATAATCCACATCCTTTGTTGCTGACAAGTGTATAAACGGATTGAGGTATATGCACAGACATGTGCTTCAGGGAAGTGACTACTCTACGATAACGAGCACGTTTAGTCTCGAGATACACTATTTTGCACTATTTTAACAAAAACATAAGATAAACATAGACGTTTAACCGTTTAAAAAGCATTAGAATTGCAGCAAGTCCACGATCAGAAAGACGAATATGGTATTTCCGCAACATTGTATCAGACGTACTGACAAGGGCAGATACTTAAGACAACGTTCAACAAGTGAAATTACTCCTGGATGTTTGTGAACAAATTCTTGATCACCAAGTCTATCCAACTGTAGGCTTTTCTTACTGGAAATTTGACCCTGAATGTTAACATAGAAAGGTTTCATAAATAAGAGAATACTACTCCTTGGTATCATGATACTTTGTCGACTAATTCTCTCCCAAACTCGCAAGGTTCAACACAACCACGTTTCTTGATGTCTTTTCAACTTCTGGGGTTAATTCATCAACATATCGACTCCCTCGATCTTATCTCACCACAACCAACTAAATTCTTGCAGTTTGAAAAACATGTGGTAAGCAGATACACTTCGTTAGGCAAAATGCTTGCTTGCATTCCCGGGAGACTTTTTTCAAATATATTTTCTGGTGTTTTGCAGTCAGGTCCGTGTCAATCAGCCCGGCAGGGTTGCGAATAGTTTTTGCTTGCCCGGTGCATCTGGACGTTTGTATCACGAGCAAAACAACCCAAAATAACCCGGAGTAAACAAACGACTCCAGTGCCCGATGCATTGTGTGCTTCAATATGACTCTGCACACATGCACCACTAGCTACTTGGTACACCTGAGGTTTCTTCCATCTCCCCTCATTTTAGGTCCTCGGCCTGGTTGCTCTGATTATCGGAATAGTCGCAAGGGTGACTGGAAGTTTCGGGCTTTTGGACGCACATATTCCCGCGATTCACTCAGGTAAGCATCAACACGAGTAGTACCTTTTTCAAAACACCTTACTAGCGGCTCTCAAAAAATCATACGAAACAGAGGTATTGAAAGCAAGGTGACAAGCATCCATAGCCACATTACGCTAGTTGCGGATTTTCGTTTTGCCGGTGTTCTGAAAAAATGCTATGCAACGGAAACACTGGGCGCTCTCCTCAAGTTCGCATATTATTAATGTTGTCATCTTGAAACCAAAAAGCGAACATTTATTTTCCACAATATTTTCTGTGCATCAATGGTCAGTATCACAAATTTGAAATACAATTACTGATATCTAGAAATATTTGCGCTAATAAGGAATTGTTTTGCCGCGCCATCACCATTCAGTGCAGCAAAAGGCACCAGCTGGTCACTGTGGTAAACATGGGCAAATAAAACATGAAAATATATTTACTGCTGATGAAAAAATGGACAAACAGGATTTCCTGTGGTCCGACGAGGGTTTTACAATGATAGATGTTGTATACTGATACGCAATAAACAGAATATTTGCAGGCATCCCCGGTTGAGCCGCATGCCAACCATTTATTGGAGTGATTACTCATATCACATTTTTATTTCTTTAAAGGCGCAAACTTATTGATAGCCGTTGGGTTCTTCATCATGATTATGGGATTCCTCGGATGTTGTGGTACTATTCGGGAGAGTCAATGTCTGCTGTTCTCAGTGAGTGTTCAGTCCAACGTTACTATTCTACTCTTTATCCAATTTTGGACTTTTGGTTGGTTGCGGCAACGCAACTGCCTTTAGAAATATAAATACGTTTTGTAGAGCAGCAAAATAAGTATATGGGATAAACTTACTGAGCCGGAACAACAGCTGCGAATAAATATTTTTTGATGCCTAATAAGTGTGAAACAAGCTTTCAAACAATATTTTCATCAAAGCGTGGTTATCTTGACTACTTGCTTACCATGATATTAGACCAAATCTTCCTAAGTAGGTCTCATGGGGCACACCGAATTTAATTTTGACGTTTCATTTGACCTTCACTACCTGATAATTCAGAGGCCCAATTTACCGGTGTATAAAAGAAGTGTCCTTGCACATTTTTGCAAGGTTCCACAAGGAAAATTAGTGATATTATCCTCTGAGACCAACTGGTGGACTGATTTTTTAATACTGACCTGGGTGAAGTGTGTGAATTTACAGGTTGTAGTGTGATGCATGCATCTTTGTGACTCTAGTAAAGTCAGAAAACAAGTTTCATGTGTTTTATTTGCATTGTTCAAAAATCTGCGTATGGGTTTAAATGTTGCATAGCCCATTTTTAGCAGTAGGCTTGTATTCATAAAACGAATGCTGAAAAGTTTGTGACGAAATTGTCCAAACATTTGACAAAATTTGGTGGGCGCTTTTTTGCTTGACTGCAAACAACACATGTGGCGATTTTGTGACATCTAGTTTATCTCTCAATTCTTATCCCTTATCCGTCCTCCAGTTTTTCTTGTTCGTGTTCTTCTGCTTCTCTCTGTTGATGGGAGCCGGACTCTGGGCTCTGGCTTGGTCTTACAAGGTACGTTTAATATCGATCGTTTGAAGTTTTTATAGATGGTAAACACCAGTTGAATAATGATCTACTCTATATTGTTATGTATTTCCGAATGTTGTGTATTCCTATCTTGTCTGAACGTTATGTTTTGTTAAGTCGCATTTCTGTGATACCATCAGTGACACTGACACAGGGAAAACAACAGTCCGTATGTGCCGAGAACTGGTAATCTTGACCATGCACAAGTAATCCTTGCATGCCACGGAATTTATGTAGTGGTTTGGGAGTGATTTGACTGAGTAGGCGCACTAAATGTGGTCTATGCTAATTCTGGTACCCATGTGTAGCGATTAAGACGTTAGTTTTCTAGGATAGGATTATATTTATACCCACGGGTTAGCTCTCGATGGTATAAAGACTGTCTATTTTCGCGTAGAAGTGAGAGACAGAACTGGGATTTTCCTCTTCGGATGAAAAACGTTGACTGTATGGTCATGGTAGTTCAAGTCTTATAAGGTGTCTAGTGAAAATGGACGTATCAGCTCACTACGTAAGTTTAAGAGGCTCTTCTTTATCCTCTGGAATAGACTCATATTATTCGGTGAGTAATCTGGTACACAAATTAGCCAGACTGCTAGTTTTAATTCCAGACATGAAAATGTTCTATGAATGTGCTTGTGCTTTCATTCTATCCAAAGACTAGCCACTTCCACTATCAGACATATAATAAACTCAGTAACAAGGGTAGCAAGAATCTACACTCATGCGTGTTGCATACAAACACTCAACTGTGAGACGATGACATTTTGACTAGAAAATCTAGTGTGATTTAGATAACGGATTAGCTTTCTCGGACAAGTCTAGTTGTGGGACATCCGCTCCTTGCGCTGTAACATGTCCCAGTACATAGTTCGGACATTTATAAATTGTGCGCGTAGGATCAACTGCGCAGCGATGGTTTGTAAGCTACCTGTCGCGTGCAGTGGTGGACAAATTTGGGACAAGTCACGTGTAACAAATATTGATTACTTCCATGAACAGTCCTAATTTTGGACACTATGCCGCGTGCGGAAATGGATTTACAAGATGACGCCCTGGGTTCGGTGATTGTTTCAGTTAAAGGCATCAAACGAAAAAATAAAAATAAAAAACATAATTTAACTGTCCGTCATCCGAATCGCTCGCTGTTCAACAGGAACTGATCAACAGGAAGTTTCTCTGAAGTGAGTAAACCATATGTGATTTGTGCGGAGCCGAATATGATGCTAATTTTAAGTAGATGAGACAAATGTAAACCCGACTGAATAAGATAAGTAGGTGAAAACAGACAGTCCAGTTGAGAAGTATCAGCTTGTCTAAACAGGATGGAAGAAAATGGCATACCAGCCTCGGTTCCTTCAATTCAAAGCAATGCCTTCTTACATCAGTCCTTCAACTGTCAAAGGGATGTTGCAGACTCCCAGGGTAAATGACCACAATAATGCTCTCTGGAGAATGTTCATTAGGACACAATCTGAATTGGAATGAATTGGTAGGAGCCAGAGTAGAACTATTACTGCAAGTGGTAGTTTTACCGCATGATAGAGTTAAACACATGTCGATATGAGAGCAAGTCCATCTTGACAGATGTAGAATAAATAAAGGGGAAGTTATCTGAGTAGTTCACTGCAACTTCAGTGCTGGTTTAAAATTCATGTGATTGTAGTTGAATTCGATACTGTGCGACTGTCTGAAGACGAACTTGAGTCCTTTGTTGCGAAGCACTGTGTTACAAAAGTCTTCAGCCTCACACAGGTAGCAGTATGCCAATTAATTTAGTAAGTTATTTGATTTTTTCTGGATCTGGAAACAAGATTGCAATCTTTGAAACATTTTATAAGGTTGCAAAAATAACGGATCATAGACATTTCTGAATTTTGGCCTCCAGTCTTTAAGTGAATGTAGATGATTTGCTTCTGAATTTAATACTGAAGACAGCAATACGATAAACCGAATACCTGCCACCCTGTTGCCCAAGCGTCAGTTATGAATGCCCTGTAAATATTTACACAGATGGCAGAAGTCGCTGTGTATTGGTTGTTGATCAGGTAGATGTTGATCTGTTCGACACTGTTCGTCGTGACAGTCCGAAAATGTAAATGGGCACGAAAAGTCAAGTCTCTGGACATGTTACCAAGACATAGGAAATATTCACCACACTCTATGCCTTGTCTATTAACAAGGAGACAAAGTACTTTCTTTTTAAATTCGGGATGGGTGGGTAAAAGCCAGGCGTGTTTTGAAAGAGAATTATATTTAAACCAAGGGAGATCTTGGCCATTCACATGCTGACCTTTGCCGCAATTTCGCCTGAAACCAACAACAATCATCCGTTAAAAGTTACCAGCCTCGTTGTGGCTAGTTTCGAGTTGAAGAATCACGCTTCTGGACAGTACTGGATCGCACACCGTTTCGAAAAACTTCCAAAAGTTTCTACGCAAATTTTAGTCCGATACAACGTGAGCAGCGTTTGAGCCAGAATACAAAATTGCGTTTTCTCCATACAAATTTTGAGTTTCTTAAAGGTGATTCAGCAGGCGGTCACCCAGTAGTATATCACACCGGGGTGGAGGCATTTGATAATAGGTAGTTGAGGCAACCAGTGTTTTGCACAACAATTCACGGGGCCCCGGGTCTCAAAGGCTCAAGGGCTTTTGCGAAGTTTGGGGGCAGAAAATTCAATGTGTAGTCCGATTTCTGATCCTTTTCGTGCATCTCATGTACTGCATTACACACTGTTCTTCATTGCAATTTAATTTGGGAACAACCACGTTCAGGTATTGTATTCATAGCCACACCACTCTCGTTTGAACGGCCGTGTTCCTGTTCTGGCGTAATTATTCCGGTGAGTCCACACCAAAGGAAAGCACTGGACTCGAGTTTCGCTCTTATTAGAGCTCATCAGCAGTGCATGCCCAATGGCCGTGCCGGGATTTGAACCCCGGACATCTGACATGCGAGGCGGGTGTGTAACCACTACTCCACCAACGCACGTGGAACACATCTGAATTATCACGTCTGAACAAGCAAACGTGTTCACACTTGAGTGATGTGATTGGTGTGCCCGACTCATCGAACGACGACCCAGTAACTGTACTGGTTGTGACGATCGATTGACCTGCCAGTCAGGTAGTTTGATGGGATATGTGGCAATATTGATCTCGCAGTGCGGTACAGACCGACTTCTCAACCTTCGTCCGTTTTCCGTCAGCCTTTCTTTTCTAGGAATAGTGATATGATTGTGATATCATTGAAATACTGTTAGACAACTGCAGTCTAGTGAGTTGTGCAAGCCATAAAAAATTCCTTTCAGTGTTTTTCCATTCGACCTAAGTGTTTGGACGTTACTGCGTCTGCGTTAGATTTTATGAAGTGCAGTTCAGTCTTTGCCCTCCAAAGTTCAGGCCTTGTAAGCTGCTCGGATTGATCTAGAAACAAATGGACGCGTGATGAAACCCCAATAATGCCCACGTCTTAGCTAGGTGGAATGTCGCGTAGTTGTTGAGGCTTATCAAGGTACTAATATGTCTGAGGATATAGCCAGGATTCCGACTGTCCTACGGTCTGGGATCCGTCGAAGGCATTGAATATTTGGTCGGCATATTGACTCTAACTGTTTGGATATTTTCCTTTGACTTCGGGCATGCAGATGGATATTGGGGCTCTAGTTTACCCACCGTCTCTTCCGCTATAATGATAGCATGATAAAAGTATTAGTTATATGTTTATATATCACATACGGCCTTGTGCAATACAAGCTGATGATAGTGCTGTAAATAATATTATTGCATGGCAGTATGATTATCGAGAACTATATAGTTCAACATATAAAAAGTTAATGTCACAGAACATAATATAATATATAAAATAGAAGTGTGGTTAAACAAGTTTTATTGATTATTTGTAGTTGGACGGCTATTTCTATCGCTACTTGGCAACACACGTGGAGAAGTATCTGGAAGACGAGCCGCAGAATGAAAGTACTAAACTAATGGACTTTTTGCACAAAAAGGTCAGTTCTGGAATCTCGGTTTTTTTTCAGAGTATCATTTTAAGTAATTGTGGATTTCTTCCAAAGGGGCCTTACTGCACGGAGATTATGATAGCTGTGAAAAAAATAAATAGTATGACATCCGTAAAATCACCACAGCATGTATTGAATGGTCGACACCAGCTTTTAAAAATGGACTCACTCATAAGCCTATAAATCGATGCTTATTTGATGAAGCATGTTTAAAAATTATGTGATAAAATCTGATTGTAATTATGTCTGGATGAGGCTTTTTTCGCCTGGTTGTTTCGAGGATTCTGGGACATGGCGACGATGGCCTGAAATCCATAAAAACACCAGCAAATGTTTTGTTCTGTGTGTACCGGTATGTTGAACGAAACAAACAAGACAGATTCCATTAAATTGTTGTATTCACGAGCTTTCAAATTCACGAATGTCATCCGCAGCGTAGAAGTTTGATAAATAAGCAAATAAGCTAATAACAGGAAAACGTCTTTATAAATAGTTGGTCGTGCCACGAGAACCCATTCCAGTAATCGGTCAAAGTTGCAGGAATTATTTTTATAAGAGCCTAAAAATATGATGTTCCTGGAAACAATCCGGTTAACTCGCGAAAGAAAACTATCAGCGACTGGACCCCCTCATTTCGTAGTTTTGCGATTCCATTGTTCTGCAAGAACTTGAACACTTCTAAGAATGCCACTTTCAAGCTACCAGGCGAAAAAAACTGTTTTGAGCAAAGTTATGATTATCACCTCACCCCTCCGTTTAAACAGGACGTTCGTTCTATTCGCACCCTAAGAACCCGCTGATCATGTCACCTCGATTAGTGATGGAACGTTTACAATCAGATTGCCCAGCTCACGAACTAAACGAGAGACGATCTACGCTATCTAGGCTATCAACGTTCTCCTCACTTTCTTATTTTGAATAAAGCCCATTAATGTGTCCATGTTTTTTATATTATTATAGACCTTAATGATTCATGGAACACTTAGATTAGGGTAATTTCTGATTAGTGACAATATAAACGAACCTGCCGAAAACCCTGGATGGTGTCCACATCGTGGTGTTTTATAAACATACTTTATTTATTGCCATCGAATCTTGTGCAGCGAGTATATTTCTTACCCATCAATGCAAAATCAACGTACATCAAAACTGGCAAGTTTACTGACAAGATGCTTGAATGGTACGGAGATTTTTTTATGTTAACAATTGAAGTGCCGCATGAGAGTTAACCAGGATTGTTTATCTGCAATGTTTTGTGAGGAATCTTTTGGGAATTGGGCTACAAATATATGTATACCGTTCACTCATTACAAACAGCTTACGAGTTTGTGCCTAAGCAGTTTGGTTGTTGATGGAACCTATAATGCTGTTGTATAATAAAACACAGATTGATTACGCTTGGATTGGAAACAGCGTTCAAGCCACATTAGGGCTTATTGTCATCTGGATTAAACAGATCACGCAAAATATGAACTCTGAAAATTCAAAAGCGCTTTCTGGCTAAAAAACAGAATGCAATCACCGCAAAAGAACACAAAATGGTTCACGCTCCTCAACTCAAAAACTCGTTTAATCTCATAACTTTTACCATACGCATATGTATATTATACTATATTTGTCGTAGGCGTAAAGGTGCGGTTCGGATAACTACATAGGAATCTCTCATAAAGTGAATACCTCACAGGATAATTCTATAGACTGCTTGTTGCCGGCTTATTGCTTGTTGCAGGTTTTACATCAGTTGCCTCACGCTTTAAGTTTTTTTCGGAAATTGTGAAGTGACAACATGAACTCATTTAGGCTGATCGTCTAGATGTATAGTTAAGTGAAACAATGAGCGATCGTGCACTTCTGTCGGAAAGTGTATAGTGATTTCGTTTCACAGATGACCTGCAAACATCGCGGTGGTACTTTATGTCGGGATCTACAATTCGGGTGTTGTAACTCGGCACATCCGATCCGGTTCATAAAAGAAGTTTCTACATTTCAACGAAGTCCATGTATAAAGCTGTTTATTTCTGAGTTCTTAATGTATAAAAAATTGTGACATGACCAGGTGCTTTGAAACATTGTGTTCCATGTTTTAGACTAATATTTATTCACTTATCATTTGCAGTTCAGTTGTTGTGGACTGCGTTCTGCAGCCGACTATACAATTACGCCAAACAGCTGCAAAACGGGGAGTCTTTCACCTTCACAACTTCCGGTAAGTTACTGTTTTCGCCTTTGAAGAAACTAACTTATGAGTAAATGAAAGCTACACTGCAGGCTGGAGTCATCTGTAGATATCTGAAGTGCCGATGTCACGGATCTCAAAAATATTCAAACTCAAGATACCCGACTACAAGCTAAACATGATAACAATTGGCCGCATGGAGTTTATGAACCGTGTGAACTGCCTGCACCTAAAAAGCATATAGTGTCTACTTCCAATAATATTTGCCTCCATGCGATAGCACAGCCTGATAAATTTTGAGGCTTCTGATGCAGAATAACTCCATCTTAAAGAAAAATTTCACTCAGATCTCAAACCCTATTTTGCATGGAACTACTGAGAATTAAGTCTGGGTATTATACAACGGATGCTGAACAACCGTGGCTGCCTAGAATTTTAAAATAGATATTGCTGCCCACCCGTTCCAAACATACTCTAAACCAAAACACAAAATAATTTTTCTTCGTGTAATTTTAAGAATGATATCAACTAAAACCTGAACCGTCTCGGCCTGATTTCACCACACTTTGGAATGACCAGTGAACACTAGTCCTAAATTTTCATTCAACAATTAACAATTTTCTTGCACTGAGTTTGTGTTATTGTGTGGTTTAACTAAAATTCAACTGAATATCACGTATTTAATATCCTCCACGTGCGCGTGCTGCACACAATACCCACATGTTCAACTTGAAATTCCCTTTAGCTGTAATTCCTCTTCCAGGTGTCTGTCGCCACGTGAACTCCGTTTTATCTTTGCTTACAAAATATGTCTGGTAAATATTCACAGCCCAAGCCAAACTTGTTAGATCAAAGAAGGATGCTGTGTACCAAAGATGGTACTGCAAATCCTATGTCGGGCCTTGGTTTTCTATCCCTCCAAATGCTTTATGACAAACGGCACGATAACTCTAGACAACCCTTTATACTAACAGTGGATGTTTGTTTTAACTTAACGGATAGGGTCTTCAAAGAAAATGTCATAAGACTCCTCTAGAATCTTCATGAAGAGGCGGCAAGTATCAAGCTATTGACACTCACTCCCATGACACTTTGACCAATAAAGGTATGCCTTAGTTTACTCCATAATGATTTCGGGACTCATCAGTCTAATCGGGATGTTGCTTGCTACATACTTTCCCCCAGAATCGAAGCCTGAGAAAGATACAGATTCAACTGAAAATGAAGTAGAATTATGGCAGTATATCGAGGTGTCGGTCGGCCAGGTGTTTCAGCTGGTCCAAGATCATATGACTGTTCGTCAAGTTTGGCTGTTACCATGCAAACGTTTTGCCGCAGGTTGCAGGGTTATCATCAGTGTACAGGGAGCTATGGTGTTCTGATGGAGAGATAATGTTCTCTGGATTGCTGACGGGTCGATTCACAGGAAATTTCCAAGCTGGGCGAACAGGTCAACAGCCTATCAACCTACAAACGGAGAAAGGGGATTTACTGGAGAGTGGTATTCGGCTGAAAAAGCACTCAACGAACATATTACATTCGACTTCACATATAAACTGGTTAAGTAGATATGAACCTAAAACGCTGTCTTAAAATAGCAAGATAGGCCGCATACGAAACAACAACAGCCTGCTGACAGTACCAAGAAGGATGTATCGCTCAACCAAGCAAACTGTGAACCAGTTATTTAGAACAAACATGATAAAAGTAAAACCGCTTAAAATAAAGTTGCATCGCGTCAGTTTGCTGAACCAGCAAACTGAGCCATGTCGAAACAGGAATTGCGAATAGGCCAGTCAAACCGAACAAAGAAAACTCATGAAAAATAAACGACTTCCAATTGGTTAGTCAAATGACAAGACCGATGGGGGCGCAATGCATAAGAATGATACACAGCCCCATTAGAACACAGTGACAGAGCTGCTGAAACGAAGCTGAGAAACAGGTAAGGCGAATAAATGTATCTCAATGCAAAGCTAATTCAAACGGACCAGTCAAAAAATACTTACCATATAGTCTTTAAGCATTCTCGTAGGTAACACATATTAAGCACTCTTTGGAAACTGCCTAAAACCAAGCGTAATCGGGAACTGCCCACCCACAAAGTAATAAATGTGTTTTCAGGCCAATTTCAAAAGAACAGATGAAGTGTCACCTGATCAGGAACCAACCAGTTTATCTTATTTTGCAAAAAGCGGCCACATACAATGCAGCTCCCCATGGAAATCAAAGCCTAGTCGATAAAGTTGCCTCATTCTCCTGGGGATCAGCAGAATGTTCTAGAAAAGCGGCTGACGGTAAAATGTCATATCTTGAGACATTCGGAGATTGTTGACAAAAGAGACGCATCCAACCATATTCCGCGTGCAGAGTGTACGAAATTAAGCAGTCTACATCCAGTTAATGTTGATATTTCAGCTATTCGTTCAAATATCATTTGAGCCTGATAAAATACCTGCATGCATTTTTGTTCAGATTTCCTGTGGACAGAATGTTACGTGACCAGTTTTTCTGAGTGTAAATCTGAATTACCTGACAATATTTCCGCTCATGGTTTTCAGTTATTTGAACTAAAGGCCATGGCAATTTGCTTGGTTGCCATTCAGTCAGAGCATATTGGCCATAAATAACTTAGGAAGTGATTTGCTTCGTGGAACATCGTTTTGCACAGACCAAGAGGAGTAAGATATGAAACGTGGCACAAATCAGCCCATCTATGCATGAGTCAACCACACACTGAGCTGACTGGAAAGCGTTCCAAAATCTGCATTAATGCAGTCCAGTTGTTTTCAAAATTCATTTGCATATGCAAATCTATCTTCTTCCAAACAACGTCCACTTCACCAGCTTAAGGTGGTAGTTTTGAGGGACTCTGTGGTCTTCATTCAAACGCCACAGCATTACGGTCCGGTGAATTCTTGTTTTCAAGTTTTTTTTTACTATTATGCTGTAATCGTGACATGTGGAGGAAAGTACAAGTGAAGTTAATCCAGTCTTTGGTACTCATACTTGCTATGTAGATCTGATTTAACCCCTAATTTGTCGGACAGTTTGTGTGCTGTATGCAATGAACATGATCATCTATCTTAGTATTCTGAACTCATTCTATGTTACAATAAAGATGTCATCTGACATGGCATAGTGGCCTGTAAAACTCTGATGAATCCTCCGTACGGCCATCTCAGTTTGAGGGTTTCATCCTACAGGAACTACACACACAAATGCGAAGACTTGATGAACTATCACGAGACACGACGTTCAAAATCATGTTATCGGCTCCAGGCAACAGGTGTTATTATCAAAAAGGAAACAAGTAAACCTTACCACCATCTTACACATCAAAATAAGGTGTATACTGTTGTGACTATGTGGACATATATCCGACCAGTGTCTCCGGTCGACAGCGTCACTGAGGACTGTCTGCGTCGCTGTTGCCAGATATCTTGTACTTCGGCGGTGTAACATACCAAGGCAACGCCCATCCTTTGCCCTTCATCTCCCTGCCTGATGACATTTGTTCATATAAATTCATGAAAACGCACACTGGAGCGATACAATATGAGGCACACATTCTTTCATCAGTCACGTCCAGCATTAACATAACAGAATGACCGTTTTACTGGAATTTTGAGTGTTATATATCACCCCGGGTCTTAGGTCCGGCCAACGTGTTCAGACAGCTCTTACGAATCACAGTGGCGGGTTTTAATTATGAAAATGGGTTATCATAGTGAACGACATACAAGTAACTATCTGTCCAACTACACACGATGTCTGAATAGCCACCACTTTGACTAAAATATATGAGGTGAAATATCGAACGGCACAGTGACATTTCATGTGTCATGCATGTAAGAAAAACGCCAAGACATGGTCTCTTGTAGTACTCAGTATAGTTTCAGAATTCCTACTGCGTAATGGCCTGCAGATTGCTAGATCGGAAATGTTGTTGAACTGTGCCACGGAACAATTTCTTTTCACCAGAAGAATCTTGTACACAGCGGCTTTGCTCATTTTTTTCAGTGTCAGCCCGATTTCAGTTGTACATTCATACTTCTGTAAATATATTTCTTTGTTCTTCAAAACAGCTTTAAAAGGTAGCTTACTTTGCCCTTAAACTCAACAAGTTTGAATGTGCATCTAAAACGCAACCATGTTGTACAAGGGAAGATTCCCCGTATGACTATAAATTCTACATCTCATCAGCGTCTCCTGTCTCATCATTATTAGCCTTGTTACACATGGGATATTCCAGAAACTTTGCTCCTAATTCAAAACGAAGGTGCAAAATTCAAGCATTAGTCTGTGTTTTAATGCTTCCACCAGCATTGGTCAAAGCTTCCCAGAAGCATGATCTTGATATCAACCACCTAATGGCCTTCCTAATTTTACAAACCATTGTGATACAATGTGAACGTACAGTGTACATGATACTCTTAGTGAGTTGGAGTTAGAAAAAATTAGTTGACTCCTCAGTAGTGAGAAACTCAAAAGTCACGCAGTCTTTCAATCGGAGAAGCCGTAACTCGAGGGGTTAGTAAAAACCAGACCATCTTATTCGAGTCGTGTAGTTCAATAGCCGTATGGTTGTATAATCTCCATGTTCCAGTTAAGGCTTTTGCTGATTGATGATTGCTTGATTGTACTTCTTTTTAAAAACGTCCCTTCAGTTCCTAATAGTGTTAGCAACTTCGCTTTTAGACGTCAATTTGCTTCATGTCATAAGCAGTGAAGAACTGGAATTCCTGCCTGGGATTTATTTATATTCATCCGTTAATATATCCCAGGGGGTCCAGAAAAGCACTGTGGACAGCCTAATCTATGCTTTGCTCTAACACTTTTCGCTAAAAAGTATATTATAATCTCCAGACAATTTTTGCAGGATTTAACAATCATTTTCAAGATGAGTGTGTACACAAAAGACGAAATAGACATTTTTACAACACCTGAAAATTATCTTGTGGTTCTGGAGAGGAAAAGTACTATTCTGAGTATTTTTAGTTTGCGGCACGATTCTGACGGCATGTGCGCACCAGGGTGGATCGCTCAAATATCTTAAATAGTCATGGGACACATCTTGACCGAATTCGCTTCAACGGAAGTGTGTTCTAAATTATGTATTCCTTATCTATTTTCAGGGTTGCCACAGAGTCCTTGTCGATACCTGCCAGTCAAATTTGTCACTGATATGTGCCATAGGAATCATCTTTGCCCTCATTATGGTGAGTAATTCATATGTATGCTGACCGATATGTTTACTTATTAAGTATTCATTGAAGGCAAATTTAAGCACTGCACCATTCAAAGTGGATCAAGTTCTCGGTCCTTAATCGGAATCCCGTGAACTGCAAGAGACACCGCGCTGTTCAAGCATGCTTTTTTATTGCTATTTTGGTGTAGTCGGCTCGTTTCGAGGCGTTTTTGCAAGTACACCGTTGTCACGTCCATGACCTTACTGAATCCGCTCGTTTTTAGAGCCGATTTAGCACCACTAGGATTGTCTTCGAAGTTTTGCTAGCACGGTTGAGAGCCACTAAGCCAATCCACAGGCTTCAAAGCGTCCTAAATTTTTCATTCAAATCAGTCGATAGACCGACATCCTTATGTCACATTTGTCCTGTTGATCGTCACAGAATAGTAAGACGTGCATGACCACGTCACCACTTCCAGCCAAATGGCGAAGGAAGGGGGAGCGAAGACACTGTAACCTACGCAAATGTCACGTGGACGCTGTATTCAACTGTTCTTGAGCGCTACGCCCAAATGCCTCATTGGAATCACTCCCCTGAAATGATTATGAGAAAAACGAGACAACGAAAACCACTGTTTCGTTTGTGAGCCTGAGCATGTTTATTGTCCAGATTTAAATTTAACTTGCGAATTATGTTAGAATTTTCGTGGTCGGTCCTTATTTCGCACTATCTTGTCATCTTAATCTCGTTCACAAACAGTAATCATTTCGCATGAAAAAAATTATGTTACACTTACCAGTCTTTAAGATGAGAAGTGTAGTCTCCTGAGGGAGCATCTAAAATGGAACATCTATGAAGCGCTGTTTACATGTTAAGAGAAAACCTGGCTTACTATTTTTTTCAGACATTGGTTTGTGATGCAGTTTATAACTTCAGCCACAGAACATGATGGAAAATCAACAAACACGTGGAACTGGGGTGTTTGTGGGTGTATTAACAGGATGTGCTCCCATGCTTACCGTACGACGCATCCATTTGATACAATCAATAACCTATTCGCTGGCTAGCTCGACTCAAAAACGGAGAGAAGACAGATGTACGCATGCGGTTGAGATGCATGCGGACTGGCATATAAACCAATATGCACTGGGTAGTGGGAGACTGTACACCAACGTATCACTAAATCATATGCTCCTATATTCTATGAAGGAGTGAAATGGAAAAGATCAAACATATTAATATATAGTTCATTGAATATAAATAAGCCGTTGCTTTCACAGATGTATGAGACTGAGTCCGCCTAGTTGTTGTTCTATACGGCACTTAACGGATGAAGCATAAACCACGTTGTCACTCAAGGAGTTGACACAAAAATCTGAACATTATTAACAGCAAACCAACATCGAATGTTATTAGAATAGTTTCAGCGGTTGACATATGAATTGCGTCGTAGAAAACGGCTGAGGGGCGTCAGGACATGCGGGTGGTGATTAATGAGAGAGGTAATAGGCAAGTATTAGATCACTCCACAATATTCTGTAATCCACATAAAATAACTGTAGTGTGCCGAATCAGTGGTGGTAGGGATCTGTTGATAAACAGTGTTTCAAATTAGGGACTCAGCGAGGTGGTTGTTCGAAGGCTCACTGGCCTTTTTGGAGCCACGGTCTCCAAACGTGTGAGGTCTATCCCAGCTGGGACTCGGTATGTACTTCTAACCGTGATGTGTAAAAGCATTCTTCCAGCTTCCTTCATAGAGATCCAATTAGCCTCTTCCTTTCAGTAGATTTTTCGGTTATCTAGAAACAAGTTGAATCCTCTTGCACTAGTATACCAATATTTAACTGGATATAAGACGCCGAAACTGGAATGATGGGTGTTGCTTCACCTTCTTCGAGATTAAGGGTCAGATATTTCTAAGTAGTCCACTACGGAATGTTTGAAACGTCAGTTCTGAGTATACACTTGTCACTAGGGAATATTAAGGCCGCTAAGTGTTGAAAGCGTTTGGGAGTCAAAGGATAGGAGAAATTATCGACCCCATATGATCATTTATGTTCATGGTTTCACAGCTGAATCCTGTAAAATACGTTGAGCCGTACAGACGCACCGTGAAGAATTCTGTAGATTTGTATAACAATGCTTTCAGTGAAACACCCAGCGATGGATTACAAATAATATGATGAAGCTTAGTGATTAGGATTTAGTGAATCGCCCTAAAAATCCTTCGATAAACCCAGGTATGTCATCTCTGTGCGTACTCTATAACCGATTCGATCTACAGATTTGTGAGAAGTCTCTAGGATCAAAAACCAGGCTGCTAACTTGATATAAGCAGCAGTTCTCTCAAGACAACGATGAGTTGACGTCTGACTAGAATCGCTTATTATAGAACTTGGCAGAAGTAATGTTATTGGCCCATAATTCTCAAACTAACCCTTATACGTTTGTTTAAAATCCAGCCTTTTACCCGAAAATAGTCTCGTATCGGTGCTTACGTGCACAGGCTGTATTTTTAGTAGCAAGAAATGCCAGTTGAATCGGGAAATTCCTTGTTTTACTTTTTTAGGCTCACTAATGTGTAAGTTAAGACGTTTCAAATTGCTGTCGGAGCGGAAAATATGCACACGTCGTTGGAAAATTTGTCTTTGTGTACAGGTCTGTAACAATCATTTACCAACAGGATACACCTCCTTTGCATTAACGGCAAGTACCGCTGCAAGGAACAAACCGTTTTAGTTCGACATGAAAGCGTAGGCTCTTGTTTCTCAGGAATCAAGTTCGAAGTATAGATCGGTAGCAGAATGTCGGACGTGCGAAACACACGCTTGTGTAGGAGATCACAGTCTGTCTTGTAGATTCGGTGACATCAAGTAATTTTAATTGGCTTAATTTTCAGCATTTCAATGGCCATGTTTTCACCTAGAGAAACAATTCTTGGCCGCTCTTCAGCCGTTCGAAGAGAAAACTGCTACAGGGTGTGCTGGTAAATAATTAACTCAAATATCTTTTGAGAAAATATTCTCTCATTTGTCTCTTGGCCGAGATTTTTATGACGTAAGTACTTTTTACTTCATGCAACAAGTTGTTTTGTGGTCTCTAAATCAGAACGTCGCCGCTGTCATTCACCTTAGGAAATATCATGGAAATTCGTATTTTGACCAAATACCTCAAGAGCGACGCAGCTATCGGAAATCCTTACACTTAAGCAGTGGAACAAACAGTAGTGCACACTATCCTCGGCTGCCCTGATTGCGTAGAGTTCTATTGCCGAAAGGGTCTGATCAAGTGAACTCGTGCACGGTGACAACAATTCTGTCCATTCTTTTATTCCCCATTTGGGTCGCTTTTTCTAAGACGTCTTCAGAGTTTTGTAAATAGGCGCATGTACACAGACATGTAGAAATCCAGTTATATTGCCCTTTTTGATCGCATCACAAACATTATACATTGCCGAGTCGAAAATTCTACGAGTCCCTTTAAGTTCCTCAAGTTTGGACGGTACTGTCGTTTCTAAGTAAACCTTTGTCGGTTTATCGGTTGACATTTTTAATATAATTGACTTTGTCCCTGAGATAGTTTCATACTCTCGGCTCGAGTGAGAGGTGGGGCGTGAACTTGCGTGCAGCTCCTTTGGTATATTTAAAGACGGCTAGTGATCCTGATAACAAGATATTTGAACACTTAGTGAATGTAACAGACTTATTCAGTTGAACAAACGTTATATGTTGCAAATCCACTGATACCGCAAATTGTTACATATCTCTAAACTTATGTACGTAAATATTCTCGTTCAAAAAATACGTTCTTAGAAATTCATTGAACTTCAGAATAGGCTACAAGGGATAAAGGTAAACTTAGTTTTGTCTTAAAAATACTAGGGTATAGATTATGCTGCTGCAAAAACTTTAGTCCTTTCAGACCTGACTCAGAAATATGGTTGTGTTTCGGTGCAACACAGTTTACTCCTGCCCACTGACTTAAACGTTCTGTGCTAACCCTTTTTGATTACAGATCACCGCAGCCATGACTATGGCCACAGTCGTCATAAAATATTTTAGTCTGTATACTGGGTCGTCTTTCCTTAGCTTGTTTCTCAACTCTACTGGGTTACAGACAGTGAAGTCAACATTGTCGTGAATTCAGGCAATAACATATTTTGTCAAACTTCCAGTTGGTTGACTTCTGACCGCGCAGTCACGTGTCAAAAGTTCAAGAGTGCACTGTGCAAAAACCCAGTGATACATGAAAATGGATTTCTGATTGGCTAAAATAGATGTGCACCGGCATGATCATCCGTAGACCTTCCGTCTAGGGTAGTGGCCACTCGACCTGTGCTGGGTGTGGATGACCCGTCCCTTATGTCGACAGTTCTAGTGTGGTCGTACCAGGCCGTCAGACAGAGCGGGCAGATACTCTCTGATCCAGAATTTTGACAACAATAGTGTCCAGCAATCAAATACGCAGTAAGCGAAGTACAGGCCTATGGGCTGAAATTGGATACATGTCCGCTTGATTGTTCAGATTTATGCGCGCTTGTTTTTTACTCTAAGTCTCCGGTATGTCCAGGTCATTTTGACTACCTGTCAGGCTTATTCGTTGCTTTACAGGTCACCGTTGTCGTGCGAAAATTGCCAGGAATTTACAGTAGCAAAAGAATAAACCCTATATACTCCATGTCTTTAAATTATCCATCGCCCAACTTATGGCCCCTCCTGTCGCTTCAACGCGAAATTTGAGGTAGTCGGCCCGAGCGTGACCGGTTTGCATGCGCGTCTTCAGTGGAATCTATTCTGAAGTCGTTCATGCCGTAAGGCATTTTTAGACAGAGCTATGTGTCTAGGCCCCTGAGGCCTCCAAGGAATATATCATCTATCATACCTCGTCAAGCTTTAACACTGATGGACTCGAAAGCTGTTTCCCTAGGCTGCGCATCCGTGGAAATATGTGCATAACATTGTCCTGTTGAAACCACTGATAAATTTTCGGGAACAATAGTGAGTTTTGTGGGATGTGCTTTAAACATTAAA